AACAAGGATTAAAGAGATGGTACGTCCATTGGAAACCACAAATAATGCTGTTTTCAGTGAAAAATACACTCCTGAAAAAGTACTTATCCATATATTACACAAGGCGTTAAGCCCAAAAATATGATAGCCTGCTGGAATATTGACGAATCACACATTTGAAAATAATGAATCAGGCCCAAAATTGACAAAAGACTAGTCTTTAATAAGAACGGTAGATTTGTGGTTTTTCTTATTTGCTTTCTAGGAGAGATAGCATTTGGTGTTCCCATTTTTAAGCTTTTCTGTATAACAATAAAAACTACAAATCTTTTTCCAGGATCATCTGAAATTTTCCGGAAGTAGCCTGATACCCTTAGCAAAGGCTCTGAGGTAAGTATCAAAAAACTAGTGGTAACACAAAGGTCACAATGCTATCCTTTCTCCCTTTTCTTTTAGAAAAGGATCTGCAGATCCCGGTGGACAAGAGGCTGAACATGAGCCAGTGATGTGCCACTGTGGCAAAGAACACCAACAGCCTCCTGGGCTGCCTTAGGAAAAGCGTTGCCAGCAGGTCAAGGGAAGTGATCCTCTCCCGCACTCAGCACTGGTGAGACTACATCTGGAGTACTGGGTCCAGTTTGGGGCTCTCCAGTACAAGAGAGACATGGATAGACTGAAGCAAGTCCAGTGAAGGGCCACAGAGATGACTAAGAGACTGGAATATCTGTCATAGGAGGAGAGGCTGAAAGCGCTGTGATTGTTCAGTCTGGAGAAGAGAAGGATCTTATCAATGCATATGAATACCTGATGGGAGGGAGTAAAGAAGATGGTGCCAGACTCTTCTCAGTGAGAGGATAAGAGGCCATGGGCACAAATCGAAATACAGGAAATTTCATTTAAACATAGAAAGAAAAAATATTATTACTGTGAAGGTGGTGAAACACTAGAACAAGTTGCCCGGAGAGACTGCGGAGTCTCCTTCCTTGGAGATATTCAAAACCCAGTCAGACAAGGCTTTGAACAATCTGCTCTAGTTGACCAGTTGACCCTGCTTTGAGCAGTGGGATTGGACTAGATGATCTCCAGAGGTCCCTTCCAACCTCAACTAGTCTATGATTCTATTTTCTTCATTGGCTAAAACATAACTGAAATTGTTCTCCCACCTGTCTGAAAACAAATCCACACTGAGCTTTCCCTCCAACTTCCTTACCACTGGATTGGCTCTGTCACAGGTGGATGTGATTGAAAGAGGTTGGAAATAGAAAAAAAAAAAGAAAAAAGAAAAAAAAGAAAAAAAAAGAAAAAAAAAGTCTTTTCCAGGGAAATGGATGTAAAAATTTCACCAGCTGCAGGAGATAAAAGCACATGAAGACTGTTTGGTAAAGGATGTATTTCAAGAAACCCCACAGAATTCAAAGACTCACTAACCCCAGGGTATGGGAGACAGATGCCTATTTGTGTAGGCTGGTTCTGTGGAAAAACAGAGTCAAAAGTGGCCAACTAGACAGCAACCTGCTTATCCCACACGCAACAAATGAGTGGTTAAAGAGAGGAGTGGAGCTAAAAAGTTCAGAAGGTGAACTTTTCTATCTGCTGTGTCCTCCTGAACACTCCCTTTAGAGCCTGGCTAGACTTCATCCTAGAACTGGAGGGGACTATTTGGAAATCTGGCCTTCTAACCACAGAGGAAAAAAACCCCTCAAACTCAACAAAAAAACAATCTGTTCTTTACCCGATATCACACACCATGGTGTATCATGCTCAGGTCATCTCTGCCTTCAGTTCAACAAACTACCACAAATTGCATGAAAGATCAACATCTTATATGCCATTTGACGATAAACCACAAAGGGCTCAGCTTTGCCAAGGTTTCAATCACGGCTGAGGAACAGATGTTCTGAAGATTTATGAACATGGCATACTTAGAGCCAGCACTCTGATTCCGTCAAAACTAATTAGACCTTTTAAGCAATCTCTTTCTACTCCTTTCTATACACCACTTAAACTGAAACATTGGTCTCCTCCTTTCCTTGACAGACTGATGAGGTCAGAACTCAACGTTCCTCAAGGTTTTTCAAGTGGCTGCACCACACTGGCGTGGAATAAAAGAGAAAATACTAGAAACGCTACAGACAGGAAAGTGCCAGCAGCCATGTGGGGCATCATGTCAGAAAGGAAGTCCACCTGTGTGTTCATAATTGTAATATTCACGGCATATCAGAGCTTCAAAATAAAAGGTGATCTCCTCTTTGAAAGCAGGGGATGCTCCCTTTTTGATCACTATGTAGATGCCATTCTGCAAACTATTATCTCGCTGTCTGCCACTGAGTCCTCATAGGAATATTCAGCCAACGTCAGAAGTCCAAGCTGAAGGACCATTATTCATTCCTACAAAAGAGGGAAGACGCCTTTTCTGAGGATATCTGACCTTTGTGGTAAGCTGCTGTCTCTCAACACCTTCCTCCTGGAGGAAACAGTGCTAGGAAAGCACTACAAAGCAAGTAGAAAGCTTTTCTTCCTCTTCTCCCTCTATGTGCAGAAGGGAGGTCACATGGTTTATTTTTAGGCTTCATATATCTAGTTCCCAGCCCATCAGAGACAAACTCAGTAGCAAGAATGTACTGTGAACCCTTGATTTGTTCTGCGCTATTTGGACTGATGCATCCAAAACTAAAAGAGAGGACTTCACCAAAAGAATTTTGTATAAATAATTCAATCAGGTGTGGAGAGTCAAGGCCCACGTCTTCTGCGTGCTCTCACAATGCCTATAGTCACAGTTCTTCAGTGCTTGAGCATCCATAATTAGCATAGCCCTGCAGTAAATACTATAATTTTACATTAAAAATTCCATCATTTAGGAATTAAAACTGCAGATTATTTCGTGAAGCATTGCCAAGGTAAATATTATTCAAAACAATTACTTACAAGTGTTGACAAATATAAAATTTCAGACATGAAAGTAAATAGGACGTTTTCATATTTCAATTCCAGCAGTTGTAAAACTCTTTCGTGCTTAAAATTCAAAGTCAGCATGTCAAGTAATTTCAGTGTTACAGAAACTTGAATTACCTGCATTGGCCTTAGGGCATTATTCACTCAGAGAAAAATTGTCCTTTAATATTGCTATGATTTTCCCAAGTAATTTTTATGCAGAGGTTGGGTTGAATTTGAATCATTCATTTCAAGATTAAACTGATGACATTTTGTGATTGCAGAGAACCATGTAATTGAGAATTAGGCTTAGGGATGTGGCCAAAATTAAATATGGGAATGAGAAAATAATATTAATGGAGGGACCAATGTTTTGTTTTCTTCTCTTAAACCCTGAGATGTTGATATTAAATGAAGTTATAAAATGCAAATACTTACTTGGAAAATATTTCAATGCTTACATTATATTGAAAGACCTTCATCAAATTGTTGGCCACTGTCCTAGCCCATTTAATGATTTCTGTCACATGCAGGAGGAAAGATAATCTTCCCACTGGATTTTAATGCATCCATTTTCGGAAGCTTTAAATTATTAATCTGTGTCAGGGGTCATCTGCTGCCTGATCATTTGTTAACTTCATCTGAAGTTGGGGGCTGGACCCAGAGAATAATATGAAAAGGCTTGACTCCATAGCAGAGTTTCAAGTGAAGTAGGGAGTTCTGTCATTGACTTAGGACAAGAATTTAATGCACAAACAAATGTCCTTACCCTATAGTGCATATCAAAGCCTTTCAGCAGTATTCTTCCAGGTGAAACTCTGGATAAATTGGTTCTCTTTATAAGCATATGGTTTTGAAGAAATGTTCAGACAGAAAAGCTGATGCCTTTATATAATGGATTCTTCCAGTAAAATAGGGTAATGAGGAGCACCCTATTGTTGTTTTATTATTTAAATAAAGTTTATTGTATGATACTAGATGAAAACTTTTATTAATTTATGTTACAAAGACGTAGGGCTTACTACAGAGAGCAAATGAAGACTTTCATTCTTTTCTGAAGACTTTTCAAAGTAGTTATCTTATTAGTGATAAGCCGGGCCACTCCTATTGCACAAACAACCATAAATGTTGCTGTCTGACTTACTACTTCAGTGATAGCTAGTCTTGAGAGCAAATTTTCTTTAATCTAAGTCTCTAAGAATCTCTTTATCAGGCTTTTCATTATAGTAAAACATTGATTACCTAAGTGTAATGAGGTTTGGTGAGTAACGGTGGAGTATTGAGGGAATTTTCCTTGTAATTGATAGAGGCTGGGGGAACACGACATGGGAAGTTTTAATAACTGAGGTGTGGATAATGCAGGTTCACATGTGTATTAGCTCTTGTGCACTGAATCCAAAGTTATCTCTAAATTCTTGCTCTGTGAGCCAGTCGGGACTAGAAGCATCACTGAGGATAAGCAGAAACAACTACCTTGATAAACGAAATAATGTGAAAAATTAGCCATGATAGAAGTTAATTAATCAGTCTCCTCTTGCATCTGCACTGGTTTTGCACAAGACTCATTGTCACGTTGGGAAAGTACAGCATTCTAACACAGGGAGAAGGAATCCAAAAAGAAACCTTCCAGAATTAGTACCCTGTTTCTTCTAGTGTATAACACTAGAAGGGCTAGAAGGACTACGATTGACCTTATAAGAACACATCAAGAAATCAACCAGTGTACTTCCATAACTGGGAAATCTATCACATAACCTTCGGTGTGATATGCTGCTGCTCATTGCAATAGGAGAACTTTTAAAGCTGCAAGAAATAACTGTGATCTAACCTCACCTGATCCACTATCTACTGAAGTCAACACCAAGATTCCAATTCACTCAACTGCATATTGGATTCCAGCCACTGAAGCACCTAATTCTTAGCATTTCAGAAAGGTAAACTAAACTGTTTTTACCACAGGATAAAACAAAATATTACAGAGTCAAGATTTATAGTTGTGACAATGTACTCCATGCATTTTCTCTTGTAGCAAAATCTCCCCAGTGAAAATTATTTCAATGTTTTGATTGTTCTGCTAAGCTTTTACTCACCTGAATAATGATTTATTTTTGTTTTTCTTCCTCTTCTGCTACTGGAATGCAGCCCTGATGACTCTGTCACTAAGTGGCTGAGTTGGTCTAAAGTTATCTCCTAAGATTCCATCGCAGCCCTCTAAAAGTTCTGCACCTTTAACATGTGTCCTCAATCTACGAAATTCTTCTATCTGAAAAAAAACAAACATGAAGAAGCTGAGATATATTCTTCACCATGGGACTCATGATCAAAAGCAGCCATGCCCAGCCACTGTTGCAGCTTTGAATCTTTGAGTATTTACATACCACATATTTAAATATTCACTATTATCATTTTAATATAATTGCCAGCATTGTCAAAACATGTAACATGTAATATGTAGGGAAAAAGAAGAACTTTTATGCACATGGTTTTGCAAACTTATCCTCCCCATTTTCATCATTTTTGGGGGGATCTATATCCTTCCTCTCCATTGTAGATTGCATCCCACATATCAACCGCACGGTTTTTACATCAGGGTAATCATTGTAGTCTTCTTCAAAGAAGTGCATTTCAGCAATAACTCAGTCAACTAGAAACTGTTATGAATTTTTTTCAGTAATTTATTTATTACCTGAAATTGTTGCTTCATTTAAATAAAAATTATTTGCTAAAGCAGGAGCATTTTGATCAGACTCCCAACTTTAGATGAAATCTGACGACACTTTACACTGAAAAGCATCATGTTTTTTCCAGTCGAAATGAAACTACACTTCGAGGTTCTGCAGATGTGGGTGCTACATATCTTTTTTATCAAATATAATTTTGGAATTTTTAAAGGGTCATATAAAATACTTCAGCTGATCCAAAGGAAATATATTTCTGACTTATTAATCTCACTTTTCGAGATTTTTTTCAGTTTTATCTGATTTAGGTTGGTGATAAATGTCAGTAGCTTTCATCTCCATACTCAGTATCATCACTGAGCTACGTGTGATACAAAACTAAGAAAATCATTGCATCTTTCAGCAACATTACACCTCACTGTTCCCTAGTATTGTTTTTAGAAGTCTGAGTGGTTACAATTATTCAAAAAACTGCATTTTTTTTTTGCTTTGGCATGTTGAAAAACTGTCCGAGCTGTACACAGCAAACCCACCTGAAGGCTGACTCATGTAGGCTGAGCCTCTTGTACTTCTCACACTGACCGTGATGCCTCACTATCCAGCTCAGCTGTACCTTGAAACTGAAGCTATACAGAAAGCATAATGGGGCCTTAAATATTTTATCATTTATCATTTTATCAGCTGAGAGATTAGAGAGTAAGTGAGAACTGCCCCATGAAACACACCCTATCTGACTAAAGAGAGAATTCAAATCTAATCCCAGAATTAAAAGAAATGAGGTACTAAACAGCAGGTAATGGCATTTTTATTCCTATATTGCCTGCAGAGAACTACTGAACTCAAAAGACAACTGCTTTCATTGTTGTTTTCCACTCTACAGCATAAATGAAATAGACTTATTTAGTTGTTTCAGAGGCTAGCTCTGCTCTGCTGTTTTTTCCTCAAAAATCACTGTTCCTAGAAATCGACACTCTTCTGCTGCTTGCAGCTGACATATAAGGCAGCAACTTACACTGAAAAGATGAAAGGCAGAAAAAACTGTGAAACTCCTTTAAAGTGCTTTTAAGGGCAGATCCTTATTTTGGAAGTGTTTTTTATCTTTATTTAAATCAAACTGATAACAAACCCACTACAGGCTTGTGAACTGAAAAAGTCGTCAGGACTCAGATGTTGGTAAATCACTGACTGGGTTCTATAAGATAGCCTCTATCACCATTGCAATCAACATTGCAAAGTCTGAAATAAATGTCGTTTAGGAAGGAGCATTTTACAAGCATATGGTATTTGTCCGATCTTTTGAGAATGAGGATTTCAAATAAACATAGATGAAGGAGAGGGGACAGCTGACTCTGCAAAGCTGGCATTTGTGAACTATCTGCTACTAAAGCAGCTTCCAATTTGTTCAGTCAAGAAAGTAAGATTGACCTGATCCCCATGCCTGTCCTTTAGTCTGCAGGGAAGTCAGGAATTGCAGCTGCACTCTGGGGGGATCACTTCTGAGCCTGCTAGCCTCCTGGTTCAGTCTTGGATATCATGATTCAGACCCATCTGACAGAGACCCTCTAAATACATGGTTGTCCACTTCACTCGTGAGAAGTGGTTCTGTCAAAACGCCTGCCTAAAAAGAATGCTAGCTGTGCTGATACTACTTTTCCCATTAAATTTCCATGTGGAAAAGGGAATGTGTGCGCCCCACTGATTCTGCTTCATCTGACATGGGATCATTTACTATCTCCTCCCCACCTTCTTATCCCAGTCTTCTCACAAATCAGTGCTGTGAAGTACACCTTGTAGGACTATAGAGGAAATAGGTACTTTTGAGGGACACAGATACGAATCCTTGGATATTTACACACTTTTCAACAGGAAGAGCCATGCATAAAAGTTCTTCTCATGCCCAGAAGACCCTGAGCATGACGCAGTCCTGTTTACACCGCAATTCAGGATCAAATTCTACCCAGTGGAAGAGTAAATCCACAAAGTTAACATTCACGTATCCACTGAGCAAAAACAAAGTTTATACTTTGCAGAATTTTCAGGGAACGTTTATGCTACTTCCCCACATTTATTTGCCCAATACCGCTTTATTCTGTTTTACTTAAATATTTGCTGAAGAATAGAACAAATAAATAAAATAAAGAATATTTGCATGTTTTCTCTGTGCACATTTCTTTTACATGAGAAACAGGAACATTATGATTTTCCTTGAAAATTTCATATGCCTTCATGAAAGCAGACCTGTTTCCCAGTGAACAGAATACCATGAACCTCACAGAGCGCTTTATTTCACAGACTACACAGATTTTGTATAATTTCTACTCTGTCTATGATAGTTACTATTTCTGTCCTTTAAAATGATTTGATTTTTCATCCGCTGGACAAAAGGACTAGAGACCTAGCTGCTCAATACATAAACCAGTTAAGTCCAATGATGAGTACAGCAGAAAGACAGCTCCTCGCTGTATCACTGTTTAAGAACCCTACTCTGACTAGCTTAGACAATGTACTTGTTCTGTGCTTCAGTGAACCACAAAGCAAATCATTCACAAAATGTCCAATTTTAAAAATATATAGCGGAAAGAAGTATGAGAAAGTCCTTCCCCATTTCTTCCTGCTCTTTATAGGCCTAGTAGGAGGGAGTTTTCTATTTTTTCCTTATATTTCTGCAGTATGCACACACGGGCTGGGTGTTTCACAATAGCAGTCAACACGTAATTCCTTCTGTGCTGTATATTTTAACATGAGACAAGTGAGGATGGTAAAAAGACAAAAGGAGGATGTGCAAAAAGAGTACTGTCAACAGGAGGACGTAGCTTTCCAGACAAGCTTTGATCTCCTTTCCACTGAGGTGAATAACGTAACTCCAAGAATCAGACTGCAAAGCCCTTATTCTCAGTGGAGAACATTCACTTGCACATTTTATCCAGACTTCATAGAACTATTTGTGAAAGAAATCACTCTCTGAAGGAAGTAAGGACCAAAGCATCAAGTCACAGATTTCAGTGTAAGCAGAATCAGGCTCTAGAAATGCACGTGCTGATGCTGCAGTCCTAGTTTGCTCTTTTGCTATTCACATAACTAACACCTTCAGATCACAGCTGCTGAAGTGAGCTGCGTATGGAGATGATTCTCCTTTTATTTACATTGGCTTAAATCAGGAGTAACTCCACTGCATTCAGCTGAACTTTACCATTTAAAATTGTCTTCAGGAGAAAAAGATTCTCTACTTTGAAATGGTCAGCCTATTACACCTACGGGAAAATAGTTACTTCTCTATTGTTTTATGATAAGCAAATATGAAATTATACAGGTATGCCCATAAACAAGAATTGTGATTTTATTCATTTTGTTTTCCCTTGTGTCTCACAGTATGTTAAGCTAATCAATATCACTATGCTAATTACAGGAAATGAGAATGTGAATAAGTATCTTGTCTCCAATGTATTCACCTTCAGAGAAAGGCAATAAACCCTACTCTATATCTGATTGTGTCATTCTTTATTATAATTTATTATTGACACTCAGGAGCTGATTATTTTATGGCCTGATGCATGAAAAAACAGAAAGCCCTAAATCTGTCTCTTACCTGCGATAATCACAGATGCTACTAGTAGTTATATTAATGGTTTGAAGTTTCATAAACTGTGTTCATTCATATCCCAGAGAATACAGTTCTACAAGTTAATGACACATGTAAAAAATATGTATTTAAATTAATTAGAAATGCATTTTCACTGATAACTATGCTTTACTGCTACAAGCACGGTTAATAAAATTAAATGCCTTTACCAGCCTTCCATGGATGATTCAAAAAGGTATATGTTATACTACATCCTCTTATTTTCCAGAGTCAAGAGTTCTGGTATTTCTAACATCTCCTTAGATGGAATCTCTCTTATGTCCTCTCACCCATATGCACAAATAGTCCAGACACTTAGTTGCAGCCAAAATGTTGAATACAAGTTAAAGACTTGGAAGTCCTCTTATTTACCCACATCATATCTGGATGATTAGCTGCCATTTTATAAAATATACTTTATCTTTAAAAATTATTCTGAATCTAATAATGCCAGTAGACATACGTTTTCATTTACTCCATAGTAAGTAAACATAAGACTTATCCTTTCATAAGCGAATAAATACCAGAGTCATAATAGGATATACTTAAGTTGCAGCTAACTTACAAATAAATTTATTGGGAACTACTGCTTTTATCCTAAGATTAGAACTAAAATCCAGTTTTCATATGAGAAGAAACAGTGTCAATTTCAAATGAGAAGTTGTTAGAATATTTTGATAGCATTACTAGTAAAATTTTAGACTATTAAAGCTGAAACAATTTAAATTTTAATTTACTACCTTTTATGCTTTTCTTTTTCCTACTGTTTGCACACTTTTCAGAACAGGCAGTAAAAATTAAAGCAGTTTCCCTTAGACTATACCCACATTTCTTCAGCTGGGATTCACAGACTGCAGGATAACACTCATTTGCTCAATGCCAGCTGTTTTCACTGGGATTATCTGTAGACAGGTTTGAAATGTTCTCTATAGAGAGGTTCGTGTGAATTGGGTATTTTTTTAAAAAGTACTTAAAAATACATATATGTGATATCAAATTGAAACAGGCAGTTTTCATTAGCCACTCACTATCAAGTAGAACTAAAAAAAGAGCAAGGTAAGTTAAATATAGTTCAATGCAATATAGCTAAACTACACTATGTTAACATTTTTCATTCTCCAGGACATAGTGTCTCCCAGTGTTTTTTTGTTCCTTTAACATCAAAGAGCAGTGGTATTTGAAAGCTTACGATTACAAAGAATTGAATTTCCTTTGCCTACTGACTTCTTTCTTTCTTTCCTTTTCTTTCACTTTAGCAAAGAATTATTTTAAATGCAGATGATAAATGATAACAAGGAAACAAGGTTTTTCATCTCTGACCTTTATATTGCTTTCAGTGAATCAAAAAGCTTAACCTTTACTTGAAAAGTCATGTACTGATCTAATGGGATCTTCAAGGAGAAGCAGATATAATGCCCTGATATATGTATTTGCACGCTATAACCTTTAGCTCGTAACCATATTCTAAGGTCACTTTAAGCACAGCTGTTACCTGCACTTGGGACACAGTCAAAGGATAGCGAAATAATATCCAGGTGACACCTTCACTGCAGGGCGGAATGGTTAGGGAGCCTTCATACACCCAGTAGTCACGTAGTAGAGGATCTGAAATTAAAAGAATTGTTGAATTTTTATGACATTAAGGAAGAGGACTGTGACCTTTAATTATGATAGCTTATGATATCCATGGGCTTGTTCATATGACAAAGTTAGTATGCAGTAAGCTAAGGTGTGAATTTATAGCCTGCTGAGTACTGTCCACTACTTTCTCATGTGAACATACATGAGTACATGGTCACTAACTCCACTCTGAAAAAGAGGTTAATGGTCACTAACTCCGCTTTGAAAGAGAGGTTAATATGGTGTCACGTTGTGTTGTAAGTCTCCTCACTTACTTTACAGTAACTTCTCCCTGCAAATTACTACTTTATAGATGAACACGTCACTTTACAGATGTGAAAAATAACATGCACCCAACTCCTCAAAGTTACACAGAAAATAAATAATATGGTGGTAAAGAGCCTCCAGGTTTCCTGATCCCACATTCCCTGCTGTAATAAATCTCTTAGAGCTGCCTTCCTTTGCACCTAGCTCCACATGCTTGGAAGAGGGGATGGAGGAATTAGATCTCTTTTTGTCGCTCTGGACAATTAGAATCTCAAGCCCAATAATGCATGGAGCTTAAAGTTCACTGCTGGATCAAGATCTAAATTTCTTATCTCTTGCTAACAGAGGCGGAAAACATTAGTGTCAAAAGCTGTAAGAAAAATCCCGTTTAGAAGGTAGAGGCGTGAAAAGGGCTGTGGTGATTCCATTTGGACTGAATTCTATATTTAGGATATGTTTTAAGGATGAATTTACTTAATTTTGTAGAAAAAAAAAATCAGTGAAAACAACTCAGCTCAAATTGTTTAGTTCAGAATTCTTGTGACACACTTATTTGAGATACACTCAAAAAGATACACTCAACTTTTATCAGAGTTTTAACTCTGCACGCAACAACTTTGATTTTAACGATTAAATCCCCCAGAGATTCCAATTGCACCGCACTTCAGGAGTGAGATGAAGTAGGACTGTCCTTTGCTGCTGCAGGCCACATTCACAGATGACTCCCCGACACAGCTTATGAATTATGTAGAAAAAACTGCCTGATTTGAAAAGAGGGGATAAGAATCAAACCTAGAGAGAAAATGGAAACGGAGGGAGACTCATTCGGAGAGAGAGCTAGGGAACATTGTGACCAGCCTGACAAGGACAGAATGGGATGCTGGAAACTGGAAAAAGTTTGCTCAGTTGACCTAACCTGTTCCTGCCATTTCACTAGTAGCTCAGAGGAATATCATTAGAATTAAACCTTGCTAATGAAGCATGTGATTGTCAGGACATGGTTTTTGTTTTATTGGTGTAATTTTCTTTTACAGTTAGGGGATTACATAGAAAATCCATTGAAATAAAGTTGCATTGTCAAACACTCAAAAGTTCAGAGTTGCAAGAATTAATTCAGCCCATCCTGTGCATGCACTGTGACAGTCTCATGGTATGATTATGTATGATTTTTCTAGACAACTTTTCATCATATAGTTGCAAAGATGGATGATATTCTCTTGAATAGCAGCTACCAACATTTGGCTTTCCCATTATTCAATATGTGGTCCTAGATCTTCTTTTTTCCACGCTATTCAAATCCTGCCTGTTAGAGGACCTAATTTTTCATTTCCTCATGGTGACTTCTAAAGCACTCATTTCTTCACTAAGTGCTTCATAAACATGAATTAATCTATTGTTCCAACACCCCAGTGTGGTGAGGAAAGATAGATTATTCCCCCGTTTTAAAGCTGGGGAACTGAGATACAGAGATATTAAGGTCAAATGCATCTATTTATTTGAGATGTGCAACATGAGATGCTTAGAACCTGATTTCTCAGAGTAGTTAACTTTCTATAGCACTTTATGCATTCAGAGCACTGCTCCCATTGACTTCAGTTGCAGGTGTAAGCACTCAGTACTTCTGCAAATCAGACCCCATGATCTCAAGTCGGGCACCTAGAAAATGAGGAACACATAGTTAGAGATCACTTGTTAAAAATTAGGTTTATGTGACTTGATTAGCATCTAACAGGAACTGTGAAGCAGGGGTCCTGTAAAAAATAATTTCTGGTCATGCAATTAAAGGATGTTTTATAATGCATATGTATAAAGGGCACAGGCAGCCTTAATTCCTGCAATTCCTAATTGCTGAGCAATTGACTTTGCAACCCAAACAATGTCCTTTTGATATAGCTAATATAGGTTAGTACAGATCAGAGTTTCTTCGCAAAATCAAGTTTAAAATTTTTGCCACTATGACATGAAAGTTAGCTTAGAAACATTCACTGAAGAAACATTTTTCTTCTAGAAACTCATTTTTTCAAGACAAGGTAGAGTAAGTGACTGTTTCCTTATTGTTACTCTCTAAATTTTTACTACATGAATTTGAATTTCCTCCCATTGACATTGTTCCCTGCATGTTATAAAGGTGTCGTAGCATTTATATGGTCTTTTGATGCTACCAGAAAGCCAGTTTGGCAAGTGGATAACCTTATGCTCTCTTGGGCAAAAATAGGCACTGTTTGAGGAATATCAGCCTCCTATTTTATGCGGAAGTAATGCAAGGATTACGCATAGCTCCCCCTCCAGGTGAGAATAACAAATCATGGAGAAAGCTAGCCACAGGACTGCTGAGGCTACATGAACTGTAGGGATGCTACAACGTCACATTCCACTCACATGATGCAGGTGCAAAGTTACCTTAAGTACCAAAGGGACTTTTTCTCTACTTGTATTAGCACCATTAGGTGCAAAATGCACTACTGAGGATATCCTCTCAGGCTTGCAGACAATTGTTTTGATCAAGATTATCTCAGCTTCTGCAATTAGCTTCAAATAAACAATGTCTTTAGAGCTATTTTATCTCAGCATGGGTCTGTGCCCTTAATGAGTCCTACCACCTGGGGAGAGGGGCTGTAACTACCTTCGAGTATCAGTTATCCTCCTTCTCATGAATATGATCCAGCTGTATTGCAGAGGTAATGCTTTTGAGACTGTTAATGGGCACAGTAAGGAACAAGACGGACATTCATTGGATAATTTCCAGATAGACAAAATTTCTTTCCTGTGTTAAGACAACATGTTAGATAATGTTAGACAACATTATCTCCTCATGTCAGAAGTGATAAAGAGCTTTGCCAGTAATCCACCCACACAAAAGTAAGTAAAAGCACCTACCTGGCAATAAAGAGTTGGGATTAAAACAGGGTATTGTTTTGGACTTTCCCTGAAAAATGAATACAAATCAATCTCATTTCTAGTTTCTTACTAAAACAAAGATGAATGGAAGGGGAAAACACACTGTGTGTTGTTTTAGGGCTAAGCCTTGAATTCCTGTCCACAGCAACCACATTAAAAGCCTCCATTTATTCACCATTGCATTTGTCCTTGCAGCTATGCAAACACCTTTTTTTTTTTTTTTTTTGTATTTTGAATTTTAAATCCAAGGTTATCTCATTAATTTTTTCACTCGATGCTTTTTGTACTTGCGCTTCTTTCAGATCCCAACCTTAAAATTCCCTACATGAATTTTAGTGCTCCTATACAAAATGTAGTTGTTGACCAAGGGCCAAAGTGAGCTTTTTCTTGATCAGCATAGCTAACATCTACTAAAATAAAGCTCGTTGGATGTATTTAATGAAAACAAATTTTATGTATGCACAAAGTATGTTTCAAGCTGACCCTCTAAAGACCAACATGCTGACAATGACTTGGCCTTTCATGACCTTCATCTTCTTAGCTGTACCTTCAGTAATGAAACCGCATAGCATTCTGTACACTGCTGCTCTTTTTCACAGATATCTAAATAAACTATTAGTTTTTAAAATTAATCAGGATGCCTAAGTCTACCATATATTATCAGACTAAAATAATATTTTAGATTCCCTTCTAGTAAGTTTCTCATTTTTCTACACTCAGCATCCACTAAAGTGAGTGGATAGTTTCTCCAGGCCCATATAGAAAACTTTTCATTTACAGATCTCAAAATACTTTATAATCAAAGGTAAGCATGACTATGACAGAGAGAGTGAAGCAGAGAGATTAAGTAACTTGTCCAAGGTCACGCAAGATAGCAACAAAATTCCGAAGAGCACCCAGATCACCTCAATCCTGCTACACTTTTTTATCTGTCCTTCACGCTCCCTATTTTTTTGACAAGGCTGCTTTGTGCTTTGGCTGTTTTCCCACTGCAAGTTAATACGAGTGTTCAGTTTATCTATTTTTCCCTCTATGGCGAAAACCAGACAAGTTTGGACATGCCGCCACTGGGGATCCCTGAGCATGTTGCAGTGCTTATATTCACATTGACTCTGTACTGATAATCACTGAAAATGTAGTACTTGAAATCAGTTTCTAGTACAGGAGATGAAACTTTCCTTTGGTCAAAAAAGGAAGCAACTACAAGGTCTGTATATTGCCTAAAAATACTGTAAAATGATAACCTTCTGATGCAGGCCACGGGACTATGGCTTTCACATGTGGTTTTACTACAAACAAGTCTGAAACCATTCTCCTGGCTTCAGTGTTTCACATATACCCTTTCCCTCACTCCATCTCTGGTCAGTGAAGGTAGTATTTCTTCAGACAATGCCTTACCTTGTACTGGATGTCCTGGAGAATTTCAGTCACAGCCTTTAGGCCTACATGTTCTTTCCCAATTTGAAATAAATTAAAGATGGATTTCAGTATTCTGTTATTTCTGAAACTGTGAGGCAAGACAGAGGTCAACCAGTACAGTGAGTTCTGTAGTTGTTTTTAGTGAAGCTATAAAACCTTGCATTAGCCAAATACACTGTTACATGGCAACTCTAAACACTTATATCACATACAATAAAGTCATCAGCAAAAACTAAATGAGGTTTAAATAACTTTAAGGCAGAGATAGAAACTGACAGAACAAGAAAAGGAGCCAAAGTTAAGTTTGGTAAGTCTTAACTAACCTTGTTTTGCAGCATATGCTGCATATAGGGTCAAAATCATGTAGCACCGTGACATATAAATGCCAAGGTTTCAGTTTGTCCTCACCAGTTTTTGTTAGAAAAGTACACAGAAAGGAACAGAGTGAACAAACACCAGACATTTTTTCAATTTGTTCCCACAGCTTTGCAAATCCGGGCCCAAGGTACCTCTGAAGCTCAAGGAAGTTTCGTCTGACTGCAGAGTGCAGAACGACAGATCCCCTCGCGCACATGCGTCTCTAAGCTTCTGCAGGCGAAAGCCTAGCTACACACAGCCTGCAGCACTGCCTTTACCAAAGGTCTGTAAAGCACAGTTTGTGGGGCTTTCAAAAGAAATCAAATTTTGAAATAAGAAATTCTTTTTTTTTCCCCCATGAACACTGTTCACTCTGCACACTGATTTCAACAGAACAGCTTCTGACCTGAACTACCCAACCTAAGACCCTAGCTTTAACCATCAGAGCAACGCTGGCAAAATAGAAAGAACCAGAATGGCCTTCCACTTGATTTGTTTGCCAACATGTACATATCTGAGCTGGAGAGCTAAGCGGATATGGATAAGAATAGGAGAGGTGGATCCTGAGAGATTTGTTCACTTTTTGGTTTTGTGGAACACAGCACAACAGTAGTCTTTGGAGGGAAGCAACTGATCATCAACACAACGTAGTTTATATTTCTAGGAAGTCAGGAGGATTTGTTTGTTTGTTTGTTTCAGACTAGGATTTCAGTTTAAAACCCTCAAAGTAGGTAAAAGAAATTGAAATCACTTCAGAGATGTGGTTTCTAGCTTAATAACCAGCAAGGTCAGTCACTTAAAGAAAATATTTTTGGTAACCTTAAAATGATTTTTCTGAGAACTATAGTGCAAAATGATTATTTTCTATGTCTTTAACAGAAAAAAAGGGTGACTGAATTTGCTCTCTCCACCCCCTTAACAAACAGCATAAATACTGTTTTTCCTCAGTCAATTTTAATTATATGAAGCCCTTCTTGGCTACTGAGAAAGCATCTTGGAATGTTTAAGAACTCTGATTGAGGTGAGAGACCAGAAATGGAAAATCATTTCAGATTTATTTAAGAACTTTATATATAACTTTGTAACTCCAAGGTTACCTCTGCTGGAATTAGAAGGTGACTTGCATAAGCAATTATGACATAGCCCTCTAGGACACAACGCTGAGAGAATGAAGACTTTCTAACATCCATTTTTAGCAGTTCTATCTCAGTGTTGGAACTGTAACCAATGTACCTTTAAATTCAAACAGAGGTAAAGCTCAAAGGCACTCATAAAGTCATTACGGAATATGACAAATTAATAATACCAATGTGAAAGAAAATCCATTTCACCTAACTATGTATTCTAAATCTCTTCCTCAAAACCAACTTAAATGGAACACTTTGCCACCTCTCAAAAAGAGGACTAGAAACTGGTGTTTGGGGACTAAAACTGATAACCTTTTTTATGGCGTGCAGCCCTTAAAAATTTTTGAAAAGCAATTAGATTGTCCAGCCAACTGCCCAGTTTGCAGTTCTGACCAACAAGCTTTGAGTGTCTTCGTGAGCTTCTCTGAGGGTTTGCCCAATCGCTCATTACACTGTCACGTCTGATGTCTCTGAAGAAGTAATACGATCCTACGGCACATTTCTCCTGTAGGAAGAAACATACTTGTCCCTGTGTTTAGAGAAGAATAATCCTACACAATCCTACAGTTTTGGGCAGTGCCAGTGGATTAGTAGGCTTTTTTTTTTCCTTTGCATATTTTCTCAATCCATGAGCGATGGGCCTGGCTAGGAACGGAGAACACATTACAGAGATAGTAAAGCAGCTATATCCCCTTAGAGCTATAGGGGACATCATAACTCCTTCTGCCCTCAGAGGAATGGAGACTAGAGGTCTGTTTATAGCCAGAGTCATAGAGAAAGAAGGCCTGACTTTGTATTTTCCATTCTGTAACTAACATACTTCAACTATACTATTTAAACAAGAATTGCTTATTTAGCACGTGCATGGAACACATGACACAGAAATATCTTCTGAATATTCTGAATACCTGCAGTCATACATTGTTTTATTTTAAAATGTCATTAAAAATGAAAGAAAACAGAAAGTAACTCCTTTTCCTCAGACAAATGATAGTGCATGATAAGCAAGACAGGAATCTTACCTGCACAAACAAAGCAACAATAGCTATGCCGTGCTTCTTCCCTACTGCCTCATCAATGCTGCTGTACAGTGTGGAGTTCCAGTGCATTAGATGAAGCTAAAACAAAGCAGTGCAAATAGACCAATAGAGAAAACATGTTTTGCAATAAAAAAAAAAAAAAAATCAGGAAGTTAACTTTAATTAACAAAGCCTCTGTGGGTGTGCGATTGTGTGTGTGTGTGCATGAATATAAATGTACGCATGCCTGTGGCTGTGCAGGTATATATAAATGGATTCTTACTATGAACATCAGGAAAGCCATGAGAAAAAAGATCAGCTGCAGAGAAAGTGATTTATAATCATTACCAAATACCTGCAACAAAGGTAGGAATAACAACGCTAAAGATGATTAACAAGCTCTCTCACTTTGGGCACTGAAATAAGCTCAGCCAATGCAACCCACCAGCACTGCATCTCAGCCAGCCACCTCTCTTCGCAGGTAGGAGTAGATTATGGATATAGGTTGTCCAGACGTACAGTTGGCTGGCTGACTGTGCTATCTTAATATCACTTGTCTCACATATCACCTCCCAGGACGAGCCACTCAAATGTCAGTAGTAAGAGCAGGTGAAGTGATTTGAGGAAAGGTCAAATAGAAAGAAAGTTAAGGAGAAAAAAATGGCTGGAGAACAAGCTCTAGGGACAGCAAAGGGCTGCTAAAGAATAAAATGAGAGCCATCAGTTGCCACCTTCCACAAAGTAGCAGTGCCTATATAAGTTAATGCACGTATATATGTGAGGCAGTAAAGTGACACAGCTGTCCAGAGTGATTTTGGAAGTGACATTTGAGAAAAGTACTGAAAGACAGACTAACAGACAGACAAACAGAAAGGAAAATGGAAAGAAAGATAGAAAGCAAGAAAGTAAGGCATAAAGATAGAAAGAAAAGAAAGGAAGGAGAAAAGGAAGGAAAAGAAGGAGGGAAGGAAGGCAGGGAGGAAGGAATGGATAGACAGATGGACAAACAGATAAAGTTATGTACTGAAGGGTAATATGCTTCTCAAACAGATGACTTTTTCCAGTGCTAATGCTAAAATGTAATCTCTGTGACATGGCAGAGTTTCAACACCCTAAGCACAACTTCTTTGAAGTTTATCTGCCAACAACTTTTGCACATAGATAAAACACCCCCAAAAAACCAAACTCTTAAATTTAATTCCTGTTGTAGAATCAAGTGATCTATGTTTTGCTCAATCATGTGCCTAAGAAGTTAAAATGCCATCCTCTTATCTAATATTGTTTCCAGGTTCAGTAAAACTAGTTTTTAAAACAGATAGCATATCTTCCTATTTTGTGGGCCACTTCTGCCCAGTAACTGCTCTGTGAAGTGATTATTGCCCCTTAGTTAGCATGGGTTCACTCAGTGACCTCCGCATTCACAAGATTAATTCCTCACCCTACCCTTATTTCAACTCTGATGAATATCTGGAGCACTAATCTTGATGACTGTTATTTCAAAAATCTTGCTCAATATAAAAATGTTAAATGAAACTACTGTATATCAAATTAAATTTCAAATTAACATTACAAATAATTCAGTTCATGCTGATCAAAGGCATTTGCTGTGCTAAAATGGAAAAATTACAACTTTTCAAAAATTCATTTGCACCTCAGAATACTAATGCAAATGTACTCGCTAAAGGCTACAAAACTTCTAGGTACACAAACGAACAGGTTAAGGAATTGTAGTTCTCCAAGAAAGGCCTGGAGTGTGCAGGTATTAATTATCCACTAGAGGGAGCTCAGGCAGTCTGATCTTCTTAACCAAAATCCCGACAGTAACAAGGAAAAGTGAGTGAGCTGCAGACAGGCCTGAGGGCACATCTGAAAGAATAAGGTTCCAGTGACTGCAGCTGTGATGGCCACGTCCTTGGTGCTGCAGAGAACAATGCTACATGGCACTGCTATTAATTTTGTTGGAAACGTCAAAAGTAGGCTTTTCCTTTGGTGATTAGAACAATAGTGTTGAGAGTGATAGTCAACTTTAAAGAGACCGTTACTTTGACTATGTCAACAGGCGGATCTTGGCTAAAGCTGCCGTGACATTCAGCAGGTTGCTACAGTCACTTGGAGGTAAAGTCTGTAATCTGACATTTGTCTGCACTCTGGCAACTGCGTTGTTTTCTGAAGATTTGAGAGAAAAATGCTTAGCTTCAGTGAGAGGAAAATGAGCACGCGCATCAGACTGCACCAACAATGACCTTAGCTCATCTAGAAACAGACTGTTGTCCCAAACCTCTGTATAATACTACAAATCATTATTAGGACAAGAATGTGCAGCAGCATAAACAGCTTGACAGGAAGACATGCAGGAAAATACTCTTAGCTGCTGCCCTGAACCGGGGAACATAATGCCTAATTCCTTGCAGCTGGAACTGCTTTCCAAAGGACATTCCAAATGGGCCAATACTTCTTCCCACATCTCCAAGGGACACAGGAGAGTAAGTACTAGCTACCCAATTCTTGGGATGTCTTTAAGTCTGCCATTTACACGGGCAAGGAATTTTTTCTGCATCCTCTCAGGGCCTCCTTCCCACCAGCTCAAGAGAGGTCAAGACGGTCCAATACAGAGACATACAAGACAAAGACAAAAAAAATGGAAGTACTTAAGGCTAATCTAGACAACCCTTGACTAGGTTCAGGTTTAGTAGTCAACATTAGTGAAGACACTGAAAGGAACGCTCATTACTTTTTTAGTGCAAAGGTTTTATAACTTTGACATTCTCCTCAAGGATGCTTTATATTTGCACCCAAGGTTCCTTGGAAGAAGAACCATCATTTTGTATTGGGTTTCTAAAGCCCAAGGTGGAACAGACTTCAGGCCAGCATTTACAGGCCATCGCCTTAGCTGTAGGAATATTTACAGTAGGTTAATAATCTATTTCTTCCATGCAGGTTGTAAACCTGCTGCCATAAACACTGTGGAGATGGATAGTATCAGTAGGATCACAAAGGGATTAGACAAATTATGGACAACAGGTCCAAAAACACATACTAAAGGAACAGGCAGAGACGTAGCCTCTTGCACTACTAATCCCATGACTGTAGATGACTGGGGGTACAACAAAATGTGATCAGGCTTCTGGGCTCTACCTACAAAGAACATCTCCTATTGCCACTGCTAGAGACAGAGTACTGGATGGACACCACCATATTCTAGGATATAATAGCATATAAGCATATAGGATATTGCTTCTGTTCTTCGGTCCTAAATCTGGTAACCTAATGGGAAAATAACACATAATACATCATATAATACATCCTAGGGCAATAGGGCTTGCATCTTCTGCTCTACCTTTGATAAGCCTGTGAATGCACACTTAAATAATTAAACAGATGTCAATGCTCACTTAAATAAATGGAGGCCCAATCAAATGAATTCTTCTATAGATTATGAAAAATGTAGCTCAGATAGGGGTGGTTAAGTAAATACAAAACGGATTTAAAAAAGGAAATATTAAAAAGGAAGGAGTAAAAGTTTCTTAGGAAACTGCCTTTTCAAACTGTGGTTTAACCTATGTATTTGTGTGGTTCTCTGGAGCTACACTGCCTTTTGTTTGCTCTTATTTGTAATATGGTAGCAGATGAAAATTTCAGATACCCTAGAGAAAAAAAAAACTGATGGCAAAAAGCCAACAAACATTACAAAATTTGATCTCTAGGGACTAGAGTCCACAAACAACATGGCAAGTAACTCCTGTTAATATTAATTGGAATCAGACGTGAACAGAGGGAAAGACCCCAGCGCTTTTACAGCTTTTCAAACTATCAATATAATACAATGCCCATGTACATTGTCAACTGCACACCCGTGCATCCGTATCTTACACATAGCAAATTATAGTCAGAGAGCCATGCTTTTTACTTATCCATATTTTGCTAACCTTCGGTTTTACATTGATTTGAGACAGTTTATATAAAGAGTGCCTACTCATAAGGAGTGCCAGTTTCTGATACGAACACAACTATGTGCTTTTTAAAATAATCAGCTGCAATGTATTGGCAGCTTACCGTTGTATGGTTTTCATTCAGAGTGCAAACACGCTGCACATGTCAGCACAGTAGGAAAGGTTCTGTTCAAGTTGTTAGCTCGTGTTTTGATACTCAGTAATTATGATGTTTCTATACAGCCAAAATGACTCAACTACTCTGCTACTGATTATCATGGCTAGCTTAGAGGTGCCAGACAGTATACTTTCAGAAAATAGTCACAAAGCTGTGAGAAACTTCTTAGCCCTTGAAAATACATTTTTCCCTTGGCTAAAAAAATAATCTGGAGCATTTTAACATTCCTACTGTAAATCAAAGAATTGCACTGCCGTGGTGGTGACTTCTTTCAAATTGGATGAACTGAAGCCTTATGAAAAGGTAATTGTTAATAAAGTGCTGATGAAGTTGATTTGTTCTGCGAACAGCTGGAGAGACTCTCCTTGACAGGAAAGATTAAGAAATTATTCCAGGTAGCAAAGTGAATCGCACACAGAATGATTCTTCTGCACAGAAGAAAATCTGAGTATCTTCTCAATCTTCATCCAGTCAAGCCAAAGACTATTGATCCCAATCCTGATGTCGCTGCTCAGGACAAACTGACACTGACAATAACTAGAGGCTTGTCTCAAATCAGGACTGTTTCAAAATTGAGTGAGGACCGGGGATTCTGGCTTTAAAATCAATAGCCATATGAAAACTCTACACTTAAGTTTCTCTACCACAGAAATACCTTTTATGTTGAGAGGAAAGGAAAAGGCCCTGGGATGGTACAGTGACACAGAATCAGAGTCACTGGAACGACAGAGTCTGGCAACAGAGTCAAAGCTATATACGAGCTAGTAGGTTTGTCAGTTCTGGAAGCCAGTTCATCTCAATAAAAAACAGATTAAAAAGCATATAAATTTTTCCTTCTGTCGAGGGCACCACCTGCTCTGTGGAACTCTACAGGGTCACAAGTTCACTGAGAACAAACGTGATCTGTTAAGCTCTGTTGTTGGCCTTATTTTAGTCCTAGCTCACACACAAAATCAAAGACTCACAGGATAATCTACACTGGAAGGGGTTTC